CAGGGGTCAGGAGGTGGGAATCGGCGGGTGGGGCAGTTAACAGCAAACAAATAAGGAGAAGCAAAATATTTCTGACTTCCATGCCTTTGCTGTGTGTTTGGCACTGAAGTCTAATCAGCTCACAATCACAGGAAGCACAGTGAGCATCAGAGACAATGTGAAGACAATCTTAACATTTAATGGTAGTTGAGTGTTTCTTACACAGTGGTGTTGACGGGCCTAACTTGAAAAGGATTTGCAGTTTGTGATTATCGACTACAGAACAGACGAGATTAACAAAGCTTTCAAACATAGTCAGATGCAGTTTATTTGCTAATGTCAAACAGCTAAGGAAAGTTTTAATATCTTGCAAGTTAACTTTAAAATGCAATTACTCTAAGATGATAAATTATCCTAGTTGGGGTTGAAGTTTCTAAACTATTCTTTTTATGGAGTAAAGTCAGCAGAACAGAGGTATATATAACATATAACATTGTAATAAATGCTGCCATATTAACAATGTTGTTTTATTATGTTGAGACTACTGGGCTGATTGGATAGCACTATATTAACATGCATTGCTAATATTTTGTCCACTGCATTTACATACATGTAGCAGAAAAAAACATTTTCAGGAAGAAAAGCAATCAAATTTCTGTAGACTGTAGTTTGACAATGAACCTTGGATAAGTTACAACAGCTCTCTGATGATAACGCTAGTAAAGATATTAATTAGCTGTTATGTTGGGTGGCCTTGTGATCCAAATCTTTCACTTTCAGTGTGAACTGAAGCTGCTCTTCTTTCATGCAGTATGCACACAAGTGGGACGTGCTTTATCATAAAATTGATCCTTATACTTTGACCATCTTGCTCATAAATTCATCACAGTCTGTAGTGCAGAATAAGCTGTTATCACTCTGTGACTCAAGCTTGTTTACATTTATGTGAGGCGCTGTGGTAAATCCTTTGTGGGTCAAAATGACCAGAAAAGCATGTTGGTTTGCATACTACAAAATGCAGCTGCATGTAGTAGAAAATTCTGGTGTTTCTAGCATCCTGCATTTGACATACAGCGTATAAGGATATTCTAAATCTTCTCGCATATGATGTAGTAAAACTAGCATGGGTCTTGGAGCACACTCAAAATGTAGGTGTATCTGCACCTCTATCCATTCATATGCACCTATGTGCCCCCTAGTGACAGTCAGGAAACATTGCTATGTTTACAACAGCAAACAACCTCATCATCCATTCATCCATCCATCCATCCATTTTCTATACACCGCTTAATCTTCACTAGGGTCGCGGTGGGGCTGGAGTCTATCCCAGCCGACTTAGGGTGAAGGCAGGTTCACCTGGACAGGTAACCAGTCTATCACAGGGCCACACTTAGAGACAGACAACCAAGCACACTCACATTCACACCTACGG